TTATATGACGTCATTGATTTTCGCGTTAACATTGAATAAAAAGGAAATGTTGTCTAATCTAAATGGTTTGCGTGAAGAGTTTCTTGCATACAATTCTTCGGGTAGGGGCGAAGCCCCACCCCACGCGTAGGAACGTCTGAGCCCCCCCCCCTCCCCAACTCAAAAGAAATTTCTTCATCGATACTCTATAATAAAATTACCGCCTAATTAATGTTTCTAATCTAAAAAGTGGTTTTCTTGCAATTTCTTTAATGCAATTCTTCGGGTAGTGGCTAAGCGCGACACCAGTGTTTCTTTCAGACTTTTTCCTCCCCGGAGAGGGGTGGGGGTAATTGAAATTTTCGGGGACGGGGGTAGAATTTTCGGGAAGGGGGGCGGACACTGGAAAAAGTATATAATTATATTTCGTTGAATGGGACGGTAGACATGATTTTTTTGAGAGTGGGGGGTGGGGGGTGGCGGGGGGGGGGGGGTGCGGGGGTGTGGGGGTTGGTGTGCGGGTGGTGGGGGGGGGGGGGTGGGTGGTGTGTGGAGGTGTGTGTGGGGGGGGGGGGTGGAGTAGGGTGGTTTCCTCATCGATACTCTATAATAAAATTACCACCTAATTAATGTGTCTAATCTAAAAAGTGGTTTTCTCGCAATTTCTTTAATGCAATTCTTCGCGTAGTGGCTAAGCGCGACACCAGTCGGGGTGGGGGTGGTGTGTGTGGGGGTGGGGGTGGGTGGGGGGTGGGGGTGGGTGGGGGTGGTTGGGGGGTGGTGTGTGGGGGGTGGGGGGTGGTGTGTGAGGGGGTGGGGGTGGGTGGTGTGGGGGGGTGGAGGTGTGTGTGGGGGGTGGGGGTGGGGGTGTGTGTGGGGGGGTGGGTGGGATGGTTTTAGTTTAGAGAAAAGAGACAGCACTATCAGCCTAGCGCCCGTTGTACCCTTCCTCAACGGGCCATTTATCTAGTTAGTATTAATAGTTTCGCTGTCTGTCTATCTATCTATCTGACAAGAACGCTCTAGAGAAAACACAAAGAAAATAAAAACATGCATAGTATTTCGAAAAACGAAGTATGACGTCGACACATTTAGCGCACAGAGTAGAAAATAATCTCAAACCCAGAGAGTGCTCAAAGTTATATGACGTCATTGATTTTCGCGTTAACATTGAATAAAAAGGAAATGTTGTCTAATCTTAATGGTTTGCGTGAAGAGTTTCTTGCATACAATTCTTCGGGTAGGGGCGAAGCCCCACCCCCCGCGTAAGAACGTCTGAGCCCCCCCCCCCCCCTCGGGGAGGGGGCGGACACTGGAAAAAGTATATAATTATATTTCGTTGAATGGGACGGTAGACATGTTTTTTTTGGGGGGGGGGGGGGGGGTGGGGGGGGGTGGGGGGGGTGGTGTGTGTGGGGGGTGGGGTGGTTTTAGTTTAGACTTTTTCCTCCCCAGAGAGGGGTGGGGGTACTTGAAATTTTCGGGGGCGGGGGTAGAATTTTCGGGGAAGGGGCGGACACTGGAAAAAGTATATAATTATATTTCGTTGAATGGGACGGTAGGCATGTTTTTTTTTGGGGGGGGGGGGTGGAGGGGTGGGGGGGGGGGGTGGTGTGTGTGGGGGGGCGGTGTGTGGAGGGGGTGGTGTGTGTGGGGGGTGGGGGGTGGGGGTGGGGGGTGGTGTGTGGGGGTGGGGTGGGGTGCGGGTGGTGTGTGGGGGGGGGGGGGGGTGGGTTGGTTTTAGTTTAGAGAAAAGAGACAGCACTATCAAGCTAGCGCCCGGTGTATCCTTCCTCAACGGGCCATTTTTCTCGTTCTATATAATAGTTTCGCTGTCTGTCAAGAACGCTCTGTCTGACAAGAACGCTCTAGAGAAAACACAAGCAAAATAAAAACATGCACAGTAATTCGAAAAACGAAATATGACGTCGACACATTTAGCGTAGAGTAGAACATAATCTCAAACCAGAGAGTGCACACAGTAATGTAATGACGTCATTGGTTCTACATTGAAAAAAAGGAAATGTTGTCTAATCTAAATGGTTTGCGTGAAGATTTTCTTGCATACAATTCTTCGGGTAGGGGCGAAGCCCCACCCCCCGCGTAAGAACGTCTGAGCCCCCCCCCCCCTCCCCAACTCAAAAGAAATTTCCTCATCGATACTCTATAATAAAATTACCGCCTAATTAATGTGTCTAATCTAAAAAGTGGTTTTCTTGCAATGGGACGGTAGACATGTTTTTTTTTGGGGGGGGGGGGGGGGGGGGTGTGGAGGGGTGGGGGGGGTGTGTGGGGGTGGGGGGGGTGGTGTGTGGGGGGGGTGGGTTGGTTTCAGTGTTTCTTTCAGACTTTTTCCTCCCCGGAGAGGGGTGGGGGTACTTGAAATTTTCGGGGGCGGGGGTAGAATTTTCTGGGAGGGGGCGGACACTGGAAAAAGTATATAATTATATTTCGTTGAATGGGACGGTAGACATGCTTTTTTGGGTGGTGGGGGTGGTGGAGGGGTGGGGAGGGGTGGTGTGGGGTGGGGTGGGGGTGGTGTGGGGGGGGTGGGGGTGGTGTGTGGGGGGGGGGGTGGTGTGTGGGGGGGGTGGGTTGGTTTCAGTGTTTCTTTCAGACTTTTTCCTCCCCGGAGAGGGGTGGGGGTACTTGAAATTTTCGGGGGCGGGGGTAGAATTTTCTGGGAGGGGGCGGACACTGGAAAAAGTATATAATTATATTTCGTTGAATTGGACGGTAGCCATGTTTTTTTTTTGGGGGGGTGGGGGGTGGGGGGCGGTGTGTGGAGGGGGGTGGTGTGTGGGAGTGAGGGGTGGGGGTGGTGTGTGGTGGGGGTGGGGGTGGTGTGGGGGGGTGGGGGGTAGGGTGGGGGTGGTGTGTGGGGGGGTGGGTTGGTTTTAGTTTAGAGAAAAGAGACAGCACTATCAGCCTAGCGCCCGTTGTACCCTTCCTCAACGGGCCATTTTTCTCGTATTTTAATATGAGGGTATGGAGCTTCAAGACGCAACAAAGGTTGGGAGCTGCTAAGGGCAGAAACGATCTAGTAAGACCAGGGCAAAAAAAAATCGCAAACAGCTCAATTAGTTAAAAGCCGTTGGTCGTTTGTAAGAAAATGGCGATCTGTGTCCACTGTTTCAGACATAGTGCCATTAAAAGCTTCCTATAGCTGCATCTATTTTTAGCAACCGAGCACGATCAAGTGAATGCCGAGCAAAATATGTGTTGAGATCGATACTAGTAGTCAATGTGGTATCGATAATTTGTGTATGGCTGAATGATGTATCGATACATGACGAACAAATCAGTTGATAAATGAGTTAAACATTACTCGGCTGGATATTTTCAGCTAATTGACGCATGCGCCATGGAGCGGATCTAAAAATAGACACCACGTGACGTGCCAGTTTAACAGTGTAATTTTTTGTTTCTCTCTGCCAGGAACATCTTGTCGGTTGATGAGCTGACCGAGCTGGCCACCAAAAACCCAAATCTAGCGAGGGCTTTAATCAAGAAATTTGTAGATCTTAATGGTGAGTTGTCTCCCTTGTATGTCTTAATGGTGAGTTATCACCCTTTAAGATTTTAATGATGAGTTCTGGACCTGTAGATCTTAATAGCGAGTTATCCCCTTGTAGATCTTAATGGTGAGTTATCGTTCCTGTAGATCTTAATGTGAAGTTATTCCCCCTATATATCTTAATGGAGAGTTATCACCCCTTGTAGATCTTACATAGTGAGTTATCACCCTTGTAGATCTAAATAGTGAGTTAGCCCGGGTCACACCAAACAACAAGTTATCTTTGATTAGTTACAGTTTAGTACAATCAGATTATCATCTGCACCATATCAGATTGGTGTCCTATAATCCGCATACGTTTCTCTCCAATATACATACACACAGACATACATATATATATATATATATATATATATATATATATATATATATATATATATATATATATATATATATATGTATATATATATATATATATAAATATATATATATATGTGTGTGTGTGTATTTGTGTGTATGAATGTATATGTGTATGTGCGTATAAAGACAATATTCATGGCATGCGTTTTACAGTTGTCAAGATAGACTGCATATAGCACCCCATAACAGCAGGGTATTTAAATTACATATGGGCACGTACGTCAAACGTGTTTTTATAACAACAAAACGGATCGCGCAAATAAAATTACCATCGCGGGAAAGAATTGATGTTATAAATTTTTGATTGAAATATAACGCCTATGTCGTCGGGATCAAATGCCATCAAAACAAATGGAATTTTTAATGTCAGACATGGACTGCTAAATGTCATCAATTGTAGTCATACGTGAAAAGGCAAGTAGTAAAAAATGTTACATTAAAACTGCAAAACTGTTTTTACACGGTCGTTTTTTATAACGTTTTTTTATAGTACCACTCCCTGCTCTTTAAAATTGTATGCAATTTTTCCGCATAAACCTTTGAAAGGTATTACTAAACGCAGTTGTTATGTAGTAAAAAAAAAGTTTACGTATATTTTTTTAGATCCATGCTAAACTTGAGTAAAGTGGTGAAAAAATATCCGTGTGGGGGTTGAAAATAAAGGGATGGCGGGTGTATGGTGAGATAATTAAAGGGGTGGCGGGTCAATAAGTGCAGAGGTGTGGGAGTAAAAATGATACTCTGGGGGAGGGTAAAATAAGTTTGGACTGAAAAAATTTTTTTTATAGAAATATCGTGATGTAGGTGTGTATTCACTGTGTATAGTCGGCCGTTTTAGAACGGAGCGCATAAGACAATTTTGTTGTTACTTTTATGGGATGGTGTGGCATAGCGGTAGCGCAATCCTGAAAGTCTCGAGTTTGAATCCGGGTTCAAGTCAGTAGAACGTCCCTGATTCCGCCCAGCTCTGATGGGTACCTAATTCACGTTAGCGAAAGTGCGACTGGACAAAGTGCTGACCATACTATCTCTTCAAAAGCTGAAGTCACAGAAACCCCATGGACCGACAGATTCCAAAAGGGAACTTTCCTTGTACTTATTTTTAGTTTCAAAACTTGACTTGAGATATACCCCGCGTAAAAAATATTGACTGCCAAATCAAAATAGCGTGTAGGGGAGAGAATTCATTTCCTCGACTGTCGTACGGCTAATGTATCGTCTGTGCTGGATAACCAGTCGCCTCAGTGATTCCTCCTGGAGTTTTTTTTTTATGCTGGATGATCATCCATCACATCCACATCACATTTCTGTCGTTTAATCACGGGTCATAGGTCAACGATGTTTGCCAACTCTGGTGTTAGTGGAGGGAGTCATTTTATTTTGCCGAGCAATTCAGTTTTTTGCAAGTTTCTAGTTCGCTCTATGCTTTTTCTGAAAATTGATTCTCAACTCATTTGCTAGTTCTAATTCTTTGACAGACAGAGCAGTTCAAATATTTATGAATAATTTTCTTCTGTAAATAACTCGATGGTGGTTTAAATGTAATGAGAGTAGGAGATAATGTAAGATAAATAATGAAACTAATTAACTTTTAGAACAACATGAAATATTTCAATTTTGTTTGTTTAGAGTCTAAACTTTAGACAGTTGGTTTGTAGATAGTAGAATACCCGGCTCGGACATTAGGGCAGTTGTGTTGATACCGTTGAGTTCTACTGCTAGGCATGTGGCTGATGTTTTTGAAAACATGGCACCTGTTAGGGCATAAGGCACCTAACTGTTAGGGCATTAAGCACTTCACTTAGGGTATAAGGCATCTAATTGTTAGGACATAAGGCACCTGACTATTAGGGCATAATGGCATAATGCACCTGACTGTTAGGGCATAAGACAACTGACTATTAGGGCATAATTCTGCACCTGACTGTTAGGGCATAATGCACCTGACTATTATGGCATAAGGCATCTACTTATGAGAGCTAACGTCTGAGATCATAGAGGATCTGATACCCAACATACACGTCAGCGTGACTACCCCAGAGGATTGTTGACTCAGTGTGGTCCTATAGATTCGAACCCGTGACTATTGTCTAGCAGTTGTGCCCACTACCACTAGACCATCCTATAATTTTATTGTTATAACCACAATATTAATTTACCAATCGAAACTACAGACTGTTGTTTAATTAGACTATGTAATGCGACAGACGGTTGCTACTAGATGTTGCAATACCTCTACAAGGAACAACATGATGCGACTTGACCCGACCCCTAGGGCTGCATTAGTCGTGGGAGAGGGGCAGGTGGGGTGCAGTTTTGTGGGGGCAAAAATGTTGTGGCGGTAAAAATGTTGTGGGGGTAAAAATGTTGTGGGGTAAAAATGTTGAACAACATTACACTAATGCAGCGATTAGACGTGGTAAAAATACAATTAAAATATGGCCGTCAAACATCCGATGTTGTAATAATCGTTTACACGTTGGGGGGAGGAGGGCGTGGGTTTAGAGTTTTAACGAATTGTTATAACTCTAAATCTCACACATCTTTGACATAATGTGTATGGTTTAGGCATTTATGACACATACATTGTCCGAAAAGTAATGTGTTCACGTGTTTCAATATGGTTAAAACTTTATTTGAGAGTTTTCAACTTTTAAACTTGACGCTACTATACAGCACTACAATTCAGCACAATGTAGACGGGGTCAAGGGTTATGCAAAGATTCTATCTAAGTTCTTGCAGACTTTTCTTGCTGGACTTTACATAGACATTTTTGTATTGACTTTAGAGATCTTTAATTTGACATTGTATTACACCCATGAATAAAAGCTACTTAAATTCGTTCTTCTCATTATTTGCCCATTTTTTTATCAATAGTGTATACATTTGAATTAATTGTTTCAAACATCATAATGATATCAACCGATTCATTTCATTGGAAGCAAAGTTGGATAAAGTTATAATGAACATTATGATCTTAATTTGTGTCTGTTTTCCCTATGTTGCTCTAAACATCGCCTACGAAACTTGAAGGGGGAGAACTCATTATATTACTTCCCTTAATTATCCGGGATTATAAACTGAGGTTTACGTTTTTAAAAAAGAAAATCCTACATTTTTTATCTTGCTTTTTTTTTCAGACGATGATTTCATATCAACAGAGGAAATATTCAAACCAGAGTTGGAGGACTGATTTTTATGTTGGATGGGGGCGTTGTCACCCTTTACAAGCATGGCGTCCGTTCATTTTGTCGGCTCCAAAAAATTTTATATTCTTTTGATTTTCAGTTTAAAAGGATAAGATTTGGATAATCCCCAATGTGTTGTAGATCCTCCCAAAAATTTTTGATGACGCTGGTTTTTGTGAGTGTGTAGGCTGTGTGATTCGCTCGGCTTGGTAAAAAAAAATAACTGGTTGTGTGGTCAGATGGACTTAAAGTTAAGTCAGAAAATAAAATCCAGAAATCATTGAAGTCAATATCATTGTTTAACTCGTAACTTATTATCATATTAAAATACGTCAAACTTTGTAACGAAAGAAAGACTTAAGTGTCTTTCAAAATAAGCTTTGTGTCTAAAGTACTTTTAAAAATGAAGAAATTGAAAATGAACTCTGTTAAAAATATATTTGTTGGTAATAAATTAAATGACGTCATGAATAGAGGGAGGTTTTCGCCCCTGAATGAAACAAATAAATCTATTTATATCGCTAAAGTGTTGTGTTTTTTGTTTACAGTCAACACACACAGCTGCTTGTTTTTGTCACGTGGTTGTTCTTTGTCCACGTCACATAATCTTCCGTCTCGAGCATATAACATACATTTCTACCATATACGTCAATACTATGTCGTGGGCATTGAACCAGACATCATAAGTACACACAGACTGCTTTAAATCAAACATCAAAGTACGTCCCACTTGTTTTAAATTAAAAACCCACAAGTAGGCTAAACACAATTTGATTTAAACAAAACATCAAAGCTACGTACTGTGAACTTTAGATCAAACATCAAAACTTTAAACAACTCTATCAAAATATCAGTCGCTTTAACAAATTTAGTCGTGATATTTCTTACGCATGTCGTCAGCGTCGAAAAGATAATAAGAGATCTTTCAACAGTCATAAACATTTTCACGTCAACTTTTAGAAAACGTCATTAAATGTTGACAGTTCGTTTGTCGCACAGTAGCACTAAGTGTGATTGTCAAATTTCACTCAGCAGAATTGTAAAGAGCCTTTTGTGATATATCTTATACCACTTAACTTTACCGTCAATTTTGTGATATATCTTATACCACTTAACTTAACCGTCAAATTAGACGGATGGATTTTCAAACGATTACTCAACCTTAAATGTGAAAGTTACACTAACTTAGTCTGGGAGGTTGCTAGAAAACAACTCAGTGTCAACATTTAAATGGTTTGAAAACAACGTAAGTGTACTTATACACGTAGCAGGAAAGTTTACATAATCTTGTCAAGAAATCTTTTTAAGCCAAATTTGATCTTTAACATGCGCATGCCACGACAATTTAAGCCAAACGTGATCTTTAAAATTTGGGTGCCACGACAACTTAAGCCAAACGTGATCTTTAAAATTTGGGTGCCATGACAACTTAAGCCAAACGTGATCTTTAAAATTTGGGTGCCACGACAACTTAAGCCAAACGTGATCTTTAAAATTTGGGTGCCATGACAACTTAAGCCAAACGTGATCTTTAAAATTTGGGTGCCACGACAACTTAAGCCAAACGTGATCTTTAAAATTTGGGTGCCACGACAACTTAAGCCAAACTTGATCTTTAAAATTTGGGTGCCACGAAAGCTTAAGCCAGAATGATCTTTAACATAATCTTGTTACGAAATCTAAGCCAAAATGATCTTTAAAATGAGAGTGCCACAACAACTTGAGCCAAACGTAATCTTTTAAATTTGAGTTCCACCAAAAATTAAGCCAAGTGTGATCTTTAACACGAGCCTGTGACGAAAAATTCGACCTAAAGTGAACTTTAACTGGAGAGTAATGAAAAAAAAGGTGAGCCAATGGTGTGACACTCTGGATGAAGACTAACTACAATTTCAATCGCACGTAATTAGAAAATGTGACCAATTGAAATACCATCCTTAATGAGATTTTGCTTCATGTTATTGCAGCTGTATCGGGGGAGCTGTTACCGTGCATTGATTACTTCTCGATCAAAAATAGCCGCCCCTCATAGATGTACTAGAACGTTCTATTTTTAAGTGTTCGCGACAAAAGCGCAGCGCCCAAGCTCCACTGGTTAGTTAATGCGATTGCATGTAGTGTTGGGACAATGACGACCAATTTAGCAAACCGCCCACTTTAACGGTTGAGTATGTCGGTATCGATGTTATTGCACGAAATCTATATATTTCTATTCAAGTTTAGTAACGATTACCACAGTCGATATCACCCAAAGAAACGGCGGCGAACGTTGAATGCGCGGCGGATGAGATTTCAACCCACTGCGCAATGAGGGGACAACTCGCGTCGGCCTTTCGTTAAGGCCGATCCTTCGTTTTGTAAGTTCCGATAACAACGCTCAAGTGTTATTGTTAAGTTATTGTTATATTATCGCCAGACGGAACGGTCAATCGGTAAAATCAGGGGCCGATAATTCTGTTCTAACCGGCTTGGTTAACTCCCCCTTGATTTGAGACGAGGAATATATACAGGGACATAGCAATCAAGTCGTGGAACTGAATGCCCGCAATAGCTTTTGAACCGATGACGTAATTCTTGTCGCGAGAAATTCAATTCCTTCACGAGCAGACGATAAAAGTTCATTAGCGGCGTCTCATTTAGTCACCTTTAGATAATTAATCATTAGTAGCGTTTGATGCGCATTAGCATAAAGCAGAATGTATTAGTGGGCTTAAGAGAAGATATTGAATCAATCACACGAACTCGGCCGAACAAAGTTGAGACTTCAGAAAATGCGATATCACACAGTATGTATACATTTGGAAACAAAATCTGGTATAAAACGTTCAAAAATCTGAAAATAAAAACTTCACACACTAATTTTAAAATCTTTTTTAAAATATATACACTGTAGCACTAAAAACAACATTTTTCAAAGAAGAAAATAAATCGACACAAGAAGTACAAAGTCTGAACAAAAAGTATACCATCTTCACAAGAAGTAGACAGTTTGCACGACATGTGTATAATCTACACAAGAAGCATACCATCTACTGTATCTACATAAGAAGTATACTGTCAGCACAAGCAGTAAAAATGTGCACAGGAAGTTTACAATCTGTATAAGAAATTTAAATTCATCTCCATATGCACAATAAGTATGCCGTGTGACACAAGAGCATACATTTTCAAATCTTAAAAAAACAAATCACTTTGATATTCCATATAGTGATATAGTTTGTTATATCCCCGCCACTACGTGAGTTTTGTGTTGTAATATAAAAATAAAACTCATGAAAATTTCAGTAAAGCGTGTCATATTATCATTTGGGCTGCTCATCAAAAAACTAATTAATTAGCCAGGTGACCTTTAGAAGGTTCCAGTCACTCTGCCAGTCGGAATCAGAATGAGGACTTTATAGGAGGGTTAATTTTTGAGCGATTTCTCTAATTTCTGTGACTAAACAAGATTCGATCTGTGCAGATATTGCTATAGATTAGTGTCAATCTACCAGTTACCACGTCTGTGAATGACAAAACAAATATGTCAATGTTTCCATAGATTAGTGTCAATCTACCAGTTACCACGTCTGTGAATGACGAAACAGATGTGTCAATGTTTCCATAGATTAGTGTCAATCTACCAGTTACCACGTCTGTGAATGACGAAACAGATGTGTCAATGTTTCCACAGATTAGTGTCAATCTACCAGTTACCACGTCTGTGAATGACAAAACAAATATGTCAATGTTTCCATAGACTAGTGTCAATCTACCAGTTACCACGTCTGTGAATGACGAAATAGATGTGTCAATGTTTCCATAGATTAGTGTCAATCTACCAGTTACCACGTCTGTGAATGACGAAACAGATGAGTCAATGTTTCCATGTGTTAACGAGTGTCACCTTAAGTCAATTTTAATGTATCTTTGGCCATTTGTATGGTAATTACGAGGAGGGAGGCATTATATATATATATATATATATATATATATATATATATATATATATATATATATAGCATATATATATATATATATAGCATATATATTTAGCATATATATTTAGCATATATATTTAGCATATATATTTAGCATATATATTTAGCATATATATTTAGCATATATATTTAGCATATATATTTAGCATATATATTTAGCATATATATTTGGTTGAGAAAAAGACATCCAGAAGTAGAATAGTATATGTGCAAAATAAAATCTTGGGAATATCAGGTTTCGAAATTTAATTAACTTCTAAATAGTAACGGAATTATAATTAATTTAACTTTATTTTATAGACTGTCTAGTATATTAATAGTCATCTGACTAACGTACTAGCTAGAGCTTACACCTAAACATAATAACACATTTAAATATGACCTTAACAATTAATGAAGTATTTCATCATTATTTTATTAGAAAAAAAAATTAATTACTTGTTTCTCGTCTAACTATGGTGCCATTAATTTTTTATTTCTAATTAGATGTGCCATTTTTAGTGACAATAACATTTTGAAAAAAGTCAGTTAATTTAAATTAATTAAAACAAAATCCGAATATGAACGACAAATTTTGTGGCCTAAGTACGTAGGTACGTACGTAGGGCGGGTGGTCATGATTGATTGTCCGGTATAGAAATCTAACCGCGTGCACCGATTTGATTCGTTTTCGCCACACTTAAGGATTTTAACTAAAGGAAATTCGTCGCGCACTATCTTGCTAAAATGAATGAAGGTGTTCAACATTCACTAAATGTTGGCTGGGTACATGAAGATACTAATGAATAAAATAAAGTCCAATATTTGAATAATGGTAGTGTAAGAATTCGTGGATCAACTGACATGTTGGTATTAGTGCAAGTTTTTTTTTAATTAAAGGTCATCAGTTTTTTTCCTTTTTCCCCCTCTATTTAATTCATATTTTTTATGCCCCCCCCCCCCGTGACGTGTGCATATATTGGTGTTCGTGCGGGCAGGGAGACAACTCACTAGACAGTAGGGTGATTAAAACAAGCAAGCCTGAACAGGCAAATTTAATCAGATGATTTTTTTTTTAGGTTGAAGTAAAAGAGCACTCAAAACTTCTTTTATTTTGAAATTGGGTTTTTCTAGAATGAGCTGGAAATAGTTACAAATTATGTTAGCATATAAGAACTAGGTTTTTTTTGTTTTTTATTTTTTATTTTTTTACTTAAGACTTTTTAACACCAAATTAAGGAGACTTTTTTTTAAATTCACAGCGCGCGGCAACTTATACTGCTGATTTGCAGAAATAAGTTGTCATTCACGTAGTTTGTTGAATGACAAAAAACCGGGGGAGGGAGGTGGGTAGGGGTAGGGAGAGATGTTGGGAGGAGGAGGGGGTGGATTATTGCGTGAGAGAGTAGGAGTAAGGAAATATGTTTGGAATACATGTTGAGGGTGGCAGAAAGAAGGAGTGGAATCTGATGAAGTCATGACTGGGTTGGGAGAAAGATGGTAGTTGGGGTACAGGGTTCTATAGGGTGGAGGGGGTAGATTGAGATAGATAGCTGGGGGGGGGGGT